ATTTTCTGAATTTATTTTTTTAAAGTCATTTTGTTCAAGCTCTCTCTCATTTTCAGCTTCAATTGGTAACTGACTCATTGTATCAATCAAAGGTATTTCTGCAGAATCTTCACAACTAATTAGAGGTTTCTCATCAAATATTACATCTCGAGAACAGATAACATTTGATTGCTTTCTTATCCAATTTTCTACGTTTCTGACTAGGTATATGGACATAACATGATGATCCTACTAATCGCACAAGTTTATTTTGAGCCTTTGCCCCAACCATAATTCATAAGAGCTTATATTTAGTAATGAACTTTTTCCTGTTTTGTTTAATATGTACACAGATGTATTTATCAGTTCTGCCCATTATGATGAAGGAAAATTTATTTCTGAATTGGAATTCTTCAAAGTTTCCAACCATTTCTACTAAAGTCCTATTCTCTTGTTCACTGCCACCATTCTGCCGAGGCCTATAAGATACAATACCATACCATAGAGTACAGCCATACCTTGAGTACTTGTTACCAATTTTTAACCAACTTTCTTCTGTTGTTGAAACGAATCTACTGTTTTTATCCTGTGCTATTACTGAAAATAGGTTTTTCTTAATATCTGGGACTGACCAAACTTCTTTACGTTCTTGGAATTGTCTCTCACATTTAATTTTCTTTTAAGTGCCTCTGCCAACTGGTAGTATTTTACCACTAGCAGCAGTAATTCTATGCAGGGATTAAAAAAAATTGAAGAATTTACTATTACTGGTGACATGTTTTAAAGCAACATTTTCTATAACCCAATCGTAGCTGTTTTATAATCGCTATTTTGAAACTTTTAAATTTGCTTTGGCTTAGCTGGCCTATCATGGGCACTCCACTTTCAACAGACTTTCACCCAGCGACCATTTTGATGACAGTAGTTGCCCTTTGCAATTTGTCTTTTACATTTAAAAATCGGCTTGGCTCTAGTTACGTTTGTTTCTAATGCTTTTTAATTTAATGATTCACTAAAATATGAATCTTTCTTTATCTCTCCTGCATCAACTGTGTTGTTAGTTCAACTAGAGCTCTTTTGTTCATTACTCAAAAGTATCAACTTGATTTATAGGTGCAATAATTGAGATGAAGAGTGCCTTAAAATTTTGCGAATTAGCAACATTTCTGGTAGTCAGTTTTCCTTTTTAACTCTGAAGACCATTATTCAAATCATTCCATAAATGTTTGAGAGGTGATAAATGAGCTGACATATTATCATCGGACCAACTGAATTTAAAGAAGTGAAGACGACTGTTATAGAGCTGGTTGTCAGACGCTTAAGTTCAAGCCAAACTTCACCTGTGCTATCAAATCTCATTACCTTTTGAAATGTGTCTTCTGTTATGGATTTGGTCAACAACGTCATAGCACAGTTATTTGCCTAATTAAAATCTCTGAGGTCATCCTTATATTTCTTTTTGATAGTTTCAGAAGCTGTTGGCTCAGGCAGTTCTGGATTGTGCATCTTTCCTTCAACAACTTCCAGAGCATCTGCTTGATAGTTCATAACAAATGTAATTCTGTATTTCAAATAGCCCAATCACTTTTGGCACTTAATGGTTTCACTTGGATTTTTCCTTGATCCATTACATAAACTAATTGCAGACTTTTGGAATATGAATTGACTTAGCCCTAACACCGCTGCTTAACCATTGCTAAACTCAATTATTTTAACTTCCCATAAATAGGCCCATAACCAGTCGAAATTAATGAATTATACAAGTATTAACTGAATCTAACATCTTAAAAGTGAAACTGTTTCTTCATAGTATTTTTCACTTTCTTTAGCATCTGCACCTATTTAAAATTTCTTGATCGCTAAAATTCTCTGATCATTTGCATCACAATTGAACCACTATGTTTTTCATCTACATTTTCTCCTCCCAAAATATTTTTTACAAAATCAAAGACAGACATTTCTTCTAAAAAAAATTTTGCCAAAATATTTCCCCTGTTCTGTAAAATCTTTTCCCAGGATTTTGTTAACATTGAATTTTGACCAACTCCCAAACAGCATTTATGTTATAAATGCAGTCGAGAATTGTATAATATTTCCAAAAGCCTTTTAGATCAGTTCCCCCTTCAATTCTCATTTTTAATAAGCTCTTTGACACTTCTTTCTCATTGACGCAATTATGCCTTGATCTATGGATTGAATTAGAGCTGTGACATATGGAGGCAAAAGCTTTACCAGAAAAATCCCATCTTGGCACTGCAAAACTCTTCCCAGGGTGAGCTGTAGCATTACTGATCAGCAGCACAGTTTTCTTTGGTACATTTTGACATTCTGAATGTTCGTTAATTTGAGGAGTAAATTTTTTATCAAACCTTTCTTTGATGAAAATGGTGTACTGGAAGGTTGTCTGCTTTTGTCCCTTTAAATTATCTCAGTTTTTTTTAAAAATTTTCCCATTACTGCCAGTTTCAGTTTCTGAGATCATGCAGCATTGCTGCATGTCATTGTTATTCCTTTACTGAAAGTATGTCATGAAGCTTGCTGTTCATTTTCATATTGAAACGTCCGTGTTGGCAATAATTTCCAATACAGTCAAGATTCGTCGGCATTGTATGTTTGCTAGTACGTTGTTCTCAAAACTCTTAAAATAGTTCTATCATCTATTAATTTTCAATTCTAAATGCTATGTTGTTTATCATTGCAAAAAAAAAAGAAAAAAAAAGAAGTAAAGCACGGATGATCCGCAAAGTAAATTATCCACCAGAGGATAATCGAGAGTTTACTGTATATAAATAATAAAGTAAACAAAATACTACTCGCCAAATAATATAGTCCTACAAAAAAGGACTTGTTTTTTAAAACATGTGCAAACAATAAAATCTATTCATATTAGATACAACTTAGCATACTGGTGCACGTTTGGTACAATAACTCATATATTTACGTGTGTGTTTGAAACAATAATTCAATGAATAAATTCATAATAAAGCTATAATTTCATATTTTAAAACAAGGACTCATCTTACCCTATATAATTGCCTTTTAAAAAATGTTCAGTTTAAATTTAATTCACTGTATATATTATAATGTATTTAAACTTTAAATTAAAAATGCTTGAAAATAGTTTAAGAAATCAGCTTAGAAGCGTATGAACTAGGAATTGTGTTATAACTCCAAGGAAATAAGATTTTAAATAGGCATTATAATTTCTATACTTTGTTGCAAGGTAAGAAAAAATCATCATTTCTATCAAGAGAGCCTGTTTACAGACACACTAGATGGATATCAACAATGCCAACTCTTGAAATGACATTGCACTACTTTCTTTTTGCTTGCTTTCTTAGATCGTGTGATATGAGGAAAACAAAATTTATTGAATAATCAATAAACAAATAATAAGATTATTAAAATATTACATCTAAAAATCGTAATAATTTTATGCCTTTCTGTTTGCATTCAAAGAAACAGATGAAAAAATAATAAATATTGTTTCTTGCAAATCATTTGTTTGTGGCAAAATAAAAGTAAAAACTCTTTATCGCTTTTGATTTGTTAAAAGCATGTCAGCATAAGACCTGCCATTTATAGAGGTCCAATAAAATTCAATGCTCCTGCAACGTCATATAGCTAATTCTTTCTCAAAAATGAATGCACTCCTTATTTATTAAAATATGTCGTCAAGTAAGACTACAAAACTCTACTTTTTAATAAATATATATCATAAAAGATGGCACAAATTAATTTTCTGTATAATGTGTTTAACTTTGAAAATCTTTTTACATTGTTAGGAAAGAATATTTGCATATATTGATAACAAAATAATACGGAACTATATCAGGGTGGCCACTCAAATCAGATTTGAAATTTCCCTGATTTTTCCAGATAAAAACTTTAAAATTTCCAGGTTTTTGTTTCTTTTTTCTTATTAAGTGTAAGATGAGTACAAGAAAAGTGCCTATATTATAAAATATTTCATTCAAAATGTTATTTTTTTAACTATCATCTTGAAAAAAATAATCTATTTTGACAATTTGGGAAGATTTTTTATTTATTTTTTAGTGTTTTGGTAAAAATTTTGAATCAAAATTCATATATTGACCAACAAAAGAGTACAATCAAATATTAATATATGGTTAGTTCTTAAAAAACCCTTTTTTTTAAAATTAAAATATGTTATAAAACGTTAAAATGAAATAGAAAAAATTAGCATTAATGCAACAATTTGTCGACAAACGTTGCTGTTAGCGATTGTAAAAAAATGTGTGATTGGTTGGTTTGCTGAGAAAAAATAATTCACAGATTTCTTTGAATGGGAATAAATACAAAAGCTTTCATAAAAAGAGTGCAATATAAAATCTATTATTATCAAATTATAACCAACTAATTTTTGAAAAAGTTTATAAAGTTAAAAATACAAAAACATTTTGTCAAAATGGAAAAAAATTACCACGAAAGCATCGAACAAATTTTAGCCGTAAATAGATTCAGTCCAAGGACAGAATTTAAAAACAGAAGCTAATGTCCTAATCCCTTCTTCCACCTCCACCACAATCTTTCCTAAACTGCACAGTCCCATAGCGGTCAAAGATTTCTACATTCGTTTAGCAACCGTGGGAGAATTTTATGTGGCATTCTAGTTTAACAGAGCTGTAATGGAGCAAATTTTGATGCAAGCAAAGCATCGCTAAGTTGATGATATTTGTACTGTTGGGAGATACATTACGGTCTAATGAAAGTGAGTATAATGGATGAAATAATTTAAATTAAGAAAATTAGTAAATAATTTAAATTAGTGAAAATAAAAAAATTAAAGAAAAAATTGCCAGCTTTTCTTTAAAATTTCCTGATTTTTCCAGGTTTTTATCCCAATTTCCCTGATTTTTCCAGTATAAAAAAATTCCCTGATAATTCCAGGTGGGTGGCCACCCTGTATATACAATCGCAAATGATAACTCAAATCTTATATTGCAATGGTTTTTTCTTAACTTACAATAGAGTATTGCTTCAATAAAACCAACTAGATATTATCTTGAATACATTTTATTTATAAATTTTAACAATATATTAATACAGGGTTAAAAGTACCCTGAAAGCATCTGTTCAATTTGACTAGCAAAATGAGTCATTGATACCATATAATAGTGTACAACCTTCAGCAAATTTTCTTTCACAATAGGAGAGTAATATGAAGTCAATTTTAGGCCATGAAGAAAATGAGCTTTTCCTTTGAGAAGAACATATTGAGATGTTGCTCTTAAGTTGTGCATATTAACAGACTTCATGTTATCACTCCATAATAGATATATAAATATTGAAGAGCATATAACCAAAAGGAAGAAAAGGAAGGCCTTGAAAGACAAGTATTTTCCTACCAATAGAAAAAAAAAGTTATTTAATTTTGTAAGATAGAGATAATAACACAAAATCGATTTAATTTATTACATTGGGTCTGTGTGAATGAAATGTCTGATGGGAAGTAACTTTGGTTATAATCCCCAATTATAAGTAAACATAATTGACTAGGAAATTTCAGATTTATGAGTCATTTTCTTTTGAACATTTTGCAGTTAATGCTCCGAACAATCACATGGAGAACATTGTCACAGAGTTACTTTACAAAGTTTTGTATAAAAGACAATGAATTTGAAAAAGGAATCACAGGTCAGCAAACAAGAAAGCAATCTGCAAAATGCGCTTTAAATTAAACTCAGAAAACGAATTATGAGATTTCAACCAATCTTGGCCGCTATCAGTATACCAGAATCTGACAATCAAACTAGTTTTGGATAGCAGACATGGAGTTTTTTCTTGCAGTACACAATGGTTTGCCAATAGCTTTGTGTAATGTTTCACACGTAAATTAGCACTTAATCAGGAAAAAAACAGCGAGTGTTTATAAGTATAAACAATAAACCTACAAATATTAATTTAGAGCAGAGACAGGAAGTGCACACAACTTTATCCAGAATAGTATTATGCAAGCTTACACACAGGTAAACATCACTAGCCTAGTTACACACATAAAAAATCACTAGTCTATATCCACACACATTTTAGTTTGACTGAAGGGAGGTTCAGCTAGACAAGAATTTGTATCAAATCTTAAAATGCTAACAATGTCTCTGAACTGTAACCATTTATAGAGCACAGAGTTTGTCATACTAGAACACAATTTGAAACATAGTTTCCTCGAAATTCAAAGCACTGTGCATTTCACTGAAGTCAAGAACAAGAGAATGCCATGCTCTAAAAATGCCTTTAAACAGAGCTTTGCCATAATTAAAGTGCTGACAAAATAAAAGTTTATAAAAATGGCAACATGAAAAAAAATTCCTTTATTCTTAAAACAAAAAAATAATGCTGAAAACTTATTTCCCATATTACCAAACTTTATAGGAAAAGATAAATCTTGTAAAAACTTTTTAATGAAGTTAATCAAAAGAGCTGAGACTGAAAAAGATGAAGAAAACAAAGGAAACATAAAACTCCTCAGCATTTAATCAAAACCTGCATCATATTCATTATTCTTGTTTTATTTTTCATCAAGATATTAGTGAATGTACAGTAATAAGTTTTAGTCAAAAAAACTTTAGGCCCAAATCAAAACACAATGAAACAAAATCCTAATTTCTCTTTATTTCAGTTTATTGGCAATTTAATATTATTCTCAACCTCATCTCCTTCCTTTCAGAGGTGGGGGGAATTTCCTGTTCTCTTGAAACCTAAGCTTGATACAAATGCATGTTGGAGCTATTGCTGTCTTCACTTTAACAATTAGGGGAGGGGTGAAGCTCTTTCCTTATTAAGTGCTTATATATATATATATATATATATAGATTTGAGTGACATTTAATTTAAAGACCAGAGCACTTATCAGCAATTGATTGGTATTTCATAGTATCTTCTGTAAAAGAGAAGAAAATCTTGTTTTTTAAACTTCCGATAAACTACTAGAATCGATTATTCAAATTAGTCCAATTTGGGATAGTCATTTATTGTACTGGATTTTTGGTTGTCACCATTTAAGTGTCATTTTTTTTCAAGATATTTCATTTACACTGACCCAATATTATGTTTACCTTATCTTTCAGTCAAGACGAAATAAATTTTAATTAGGCGGCTTGTTAACCTTTTGCTTACGGCTGGTACAATTGATGGTCTAGAATAGCAGGTGCTATCAGGTGTTGTAAGTAAGAGGTTAAAATCCTTCTATTGTTTTCAACTTAGATGCACGGTTTAGTTTTTTGTTGTAGTTTCCTTACATTTTGTATTTAAGAAATTTTATGACAGATGATCATTCTATAGTAAAACATTTTTCAAAAGAGATGGTAAATAAAAGCATTTTATATTGGATACAAATGCACATGATACTTCAAAACTTTCAGATATTTTTTTATGAATTGAAAGCAATAAAACATGTAAGTTATAATTTTAGATAGGTACTTTTATACTAATTGAGTACCTAATTCTAGATTTTTTAGTTTAAAATGATAAAAGCTGCTTTCAATTTGCAAGCTATGAAAAAAAATTCTTTTAATCTAAAAACATGCAGATATGTAACATTAAATAAACTGTATGAAATAGTTGATCTCAGAATTCTATATCGTAATTTTATGGGAAAAACTGGAAGAAACCTTAAAGTAATGTCCTGTTATATCCCCTATTTTTTAGGGTGACATTTTATCTTATGTGTTTGTAGGATAACGTTGAGAAACAACTAAGTCATATGTTTATATATTTGTGTAGATAGAGATGCTTATTTAATATTTCCTCTCAGCCAACATCCCTAGAACAACTAGGAAGATAGTACAATTATCATTTTATTCTGTGCCATTAATATTTATGAGAATGGAGATATACTTTAGGAGAGAAGAAAAAGAATTCTCAGCACAAATGTTAGGAAATTAATAAAATATATGCTTAAGGGCAATAACCAGTTGGAAAGGGGAAGAGAGATCACATTGGTGAGGAGAGGGAGAGCCAATATTGTAGCCTAATGCACCTTTCAGACGTAAAGAGCATCAAAGCAAGGCAAAACTGTTTAATGGCACAAAAGCTGGATATAGCTACATTGTACAAAACTCAAAATCATATTGTAACAAAAACATTGGTGTAGTTTAAAAGCAAATTCAACGTCATACCAATTAAAGCCAAGAGACAGGAAAAATAATTTACAATACCAGCCTAACTGTTGAAAAGTTCAAATAGAATATACTACCTCATATACTCTATTTTCTCACCATTCCAAATTTTAATTTCAACAAGTATTGGTTAATACTTTGAAATAATGAAATACATACCAACTTTTTGAACACTCCACCTTACCCACCACTTTTTGAACACCATACATTCCCACCTTTCCTAACTCATGCACACAAAAATTAAAACAGTTTCAATAATATTAGATTATTAAAAAATAAAATTAAACTATGGAAAAAACTGAACCATTATATTGCAAATCATATACCTTTAGTTGAACTCTGTTCCATATCATTTTCACTTTCATATCCGTTTATCCCTAAAAAAATATGATTAAAGGAAAACATTGTTAGTTGCAGAAGTACTTTTATAATTATAGAACTTTAGAATTTTGATTTGAAAGTAAAAGTTTTTTTTTTCTTCCAGCATTGCATTGATGTATTTTCACAATAAAATAAGTTAATTAAAGAGCAAATAATTAAGATCAATTATAACAATTTCTAATAAAATGATAATAATTAAGTTGTACATTTTGGCTTATTTGTTATTCATTAAAAAAACTTCAGTGATGAGAAAAATCATTGATAGAGATACATACTATAATAGCACTGCCCTTGTGTTCAATAAAAGAAAGAAAATGAACTTCAGCTTTCTTTCATAAGTTTTATATATTATAACATCTAAAGCTATTTTTTAAAAACTATAGTGTAGACATAGAACAATTTGAAAAAAAAAAGAATTTAAAAAAGTGATTAAAAATTTGCAAACTGTTATTAAAAATGCTTCTTTTAGTTTTCAAAAAAAAGTACTACAAATACAAGTTCAATAATTTATTCAATACTACTGATCTGAAGATCATTAGAATGAAGTTTAAAATTTTAACATTATGTAAACTTAAATCGTAAAAAAAGAATTATAATAAAAATTATAATCTTTCAAGCTACAATCAATGCAAACAAAAAACATTGCTATACTGTTGTATTAATATTTTGCAAAATTCAAACATTTTAGTTGTTCAGAGTAATAAATTAAAAAATGAAATCTTCATATCAAAAAATAATGAAAAAGCATTATCACAGACAGAAAAAATTTCACCTTTTAAAATTTAAAAAAAAAGTTACATTTAAAAACAAATTATAATTTTTTATTTGTTAGGGTTGAGGGGCAAAAATGCTTTTTCTAAAATCCTTTCTACTACAGTAAAATTTTTTAACGTATCTAATGGATGTAAGCAAATTAAATATGACTCAATGCATTAATTTAAGTATTTAGAAAATGATTATTTACTATCTTACTATTAATGAGAGTCATTTTCTCTCGATCAAATAGAAATCCAGTACTTTATTTCGAAATTTCAAACACAGAAACTATTTCTTTAACCTTTTCATCAATTTTTAATTTAATTTAATCTTAAATTGTTTGATTTGTTTAAATTAGTAATCAGGTAAGGTAGAGATGCACTTTTTGCTAGTATTTATTATAGTTGTTTATTCTTTGGATCCCTGGCTGTGGGGCGTGAAACCTCACTCTGTGAAGGAGATGAGTTTTTTTTTCTTTCATTATACTCCCCAATTTACAATAGGGATAAGGTCTATTCAACAAATTCAGAAAACGCTTTTCAAAGAGCTTTTCGCAACTCAATAAATTGAAGTTAAACAAGCATATATAAAGTTAATAAGTCTAGAGGCAGCTGAACTCAGACTTCCACTTTTCAGTTTTGTTCTCACTAAAGTTATCTTCCCTGGCCTTTGGAGGGATTTAACCCTCCCTCTACCCACTTTACTACTTTTGAGATATGTGCTCCTCTTGTAATAGGAGAGCACAAATGTTGCACAATTTGTGCTAAAAGTAATAAAAAAAATTTTGGCCTTGACTTTTAGCACTGAAAAGATTGAGATTTCCCTAAGGAAAAAACATTTGAGAGTGTGCTTTACGGCAGATTTTCATTGTTTAGATCACTTTTTCTGGTAAGAAAATTAATTTGCTTCGGTAAAAATTGAACAGAAGTAAAATATTTTAATTTTCAGAAAAAATAATAATATCTAAAAAATATCTGTCGATTTGGCACATTTCAGATAATATACCTATGGCAAAAGTCGCACATGCCATACCCTAGATTTTCCACTGAATATACAAGTATTACTAGGGTTTAAGTCAGTATGGCGACAATTGTTGCCAAACGTTCTACAAATGTTAGTAAAATCATATGCATGGGCGACAAATTTGTTGCCTTGAAATTTGTAATTCACAAAATAGTTTTTTCGCATTGAATTCCATGCATTTAAAAAGATCTTAAGATACTAATTTTATTATTCTACGTGCAGTACAGAATTCAAATGTATGGTATTCAAATGGAATAACTTAAAGTATCTGGTACAAATTATTTTTAAATTTAAATGTTGAAATTTCAAATTTACATATTGTTCTGTGCTTTGCATTCATATACTGATAGTGTAATTGTTCATCAATAAAATAATATTTTTTTTGCTTTTAGAATATTTAAACTTTTATGATTTTTATATAATTAATTTTTAATATAATATTTTGATAGCTCTTGCTGTCTCTGGTCCATGTCCATAAAATAGTAAATTTATATTTTAGCATTAATAGTTAAATATATAGAGAATAAATTTTTTTCATTTATTTTAATATAAAGGAGCTTTAACAATCTGCTCATTAACATAATACGGCATTAAACAAATATACCATGAAAATATTTTAAATAAATGCTAAATATTTTTTGTTAATTTTTTTTAACATAAAAAAACCATTTCAAAAATATGAAAATAATAAATGAAAACATAATGTGCATAGATTAAACAAATTTGTTCACACTGGTGTAAGAAAAAAATCTAAACATAAACTGAAAAATATAGTATATAACGCAGGATAGCACATAATTTCTATTTATGCTTTTAATTGTGAAGCTTAATGCATCTTTAACAAGATAAAAAAAAAGTTTTAAGTAGCGTGTAACAATAGTTTAGTTATTTCAGTTCACAAGTTTGTGCCAGTACTAACCAGATTTTGTGACTCTTTTGCAAGGAAAATGGTTTATTTCTGTCATAATACGAAGCGAAATCAATTTTAACTTTCTTTTAAATATTTTATTTACAAATAAAAGAAGAAAATAGATATATATTCTCTTTTTCCATCTACATAAACGAGCTATTGCTAAATGTAAATAAGAATTGCTAGATTAAGTAAACTATCTTCATGCGTTTTGGTTTCGTAATATCTATTAAAAAATTGAAAATGTCATACACAGAAAACATGATTAAATGACAGAAAATATAGATTACTTGAAGCGTTTCCATGGTCATTCTGCTGTTCTTTCTCAAGTAATAATTGAGCTTCTCTCTTAGCTTTGGACTCAGCTTTTCTTTTTTCTCTTTCTAATTTTTTTGACCTGCGCTGTTCTTCAAGTTCTTTATCAATTAAGGCTTGTTTAGCAGATTCTTTTTCTAAAAGAAAAGTATGAAAAGAAATGGAAAATATTATCTACTATTTTCAGTGCAAAAGGCAATGAAATGGACAAAAGTTATAAAACTTAAATTGTCTAAAGCAGCAATTAAAATAAAAAATACTGAAATAGTATGGGGACCTTAATCAAGAGAGTTGATGGCAAATCTTAAATTGATAAGTTGTGATAAGTTACGAAAAACTGATAAAATTAAGTTTTTAATTTGATTATTCCAAGTGTTCTACTTAGTTTATTAAAATTAGAATTTTACTATCTTAAGCATAAAAAATAGTAATCAAATATTTAGAGAGCATAATCCTATATCTAGGTCTCATCACATATACAAAATTAAGAACTGGGGGAATTCAGCCATTTTCTTAATAAGAGTTTGGGTGGCAAATAGTAATCATTCAAATGGACCCTGAATACTCTGCAAATTGCCAGGGCATTTAATGTAATGTTATTAGGGAAACTTTGCACACCCGGCTTTCTAATTTACTGAAAAAGAAAGCAATAAAAACATATTTAAACACTACAAGCCTTTCTTTTTTGCTTGGAAATTTACAGTTGGGCAAAATACGCTCGAACATTGAAAAAATAATTGCACAATTAGAATCTTAGCTAAACTTCACAAATGGTCCCACAGATGCAGAAATTAAAAAGAAATCACACATAGTCAGGTTAAGTTTGAAAATGTGCAAAAAGTTGGACCTTGATTGGCTATAATCCCTGATGCAGATGGATTGATTTATTCCTCTTTCTGTTTTTCTTTTTTTGACATTATCAGAACAGTAAAGAGAGAGAGAAGAGTATTTTTCGTTACAAATTTCAATAAAGATTGTTTTCCTTTCTGCCCTTTAGTGAGAAGGGTAACCCTGTTACTAAATTTTTACCATTCTCTCCAAAGTTAAAACAGAGATGTTAACAACCCTAAAAATGGTTTCAACAGTTTAATGCAGGTTTAGTAATTTTTTTATTTCACCATTTATCATGTTCAGAACATATAAATCTTAAAAGATTGGAAATTATGTATACAAACACTAAATAATCTGAACAAATACAAATTTCTTTTAAAAAAAGAAAACAATTTATGGAGAATGTGATAGAGAATGATAAATACCTCTAACTGCTTTTAATTTTTTCTGTTTTTCTCGCTCTAAATCAGAATCAATTGCTTGCATATAAGAAACAACCTAAAATGTAAAGTTCATAGTAATTTATTATAAAGATATATATATATATAACTCGTGGCTAAAAAGCTAAGTAAGGTATTTAGGAGGGAAAAGAAGTTTTCATCGGGACAAGGTAGAAACTAGGTTTCAAACAGTACAAGCAATGGGGAAAATAAAAACCAACAAATAATATTAATCATATATTTATTTATTAGCAGGTAGTGGTTTATTACTTATATCTGATACAAATTATATTATATTATATACACATATGCAAGTTAAGTAACAAACCATAGAACAAGTGATATTATGAAGCTACCACCTGAATTTTGATAGTAAAACTAATTTCTTCAAAAACAAAAAAAAGCAAGTTTTTTTTTTTTTTTTTTTTTTAACTTTTAAAAACCTATAATGAACTAGATTTTCAATATGAGCTAATAATAATTAATTTAATATTAAAATCATTAATGAAATTATTACAAAAATAATCAATATATATCATATTATTGCAACTGTATGTAAATTGAAGTCTCATATCAAGAATCATCGGGACTTCGGCAAGTCTGGAAAATAGATTTTTCCAGATAAGTCTTGAAGGCAAACATCAAAACAGCCTTACTCAATAAAAAATAACAAAAGACAATAATTGACATCAATTCCAATCAACAAAAAATAAACCCACACTGTTTCCATGGTTTCGCAATTTTTGTTACAGATTTCCTCATGGTTTTTAAAATCTCGATATTTTAATATGCCATTATAACATGTTGCGAATTTCTAATCACCTATTTCAGTTGGTAGTCATTTCTCGATCCACTCGATTAGCAACAATTAAACATTGGATCTACTTGGCTTTGAAGATCGTTTTTCGGTAGCTATTAAAAACGGATTTTCACCTGGTTTCTAAAATGTCAATGTTTTAATACGTTATTATTTTGTCCAACAAAATTTCAATCCCACATTTCGCATTTAATTATTGACAATTCACTCACAATTCCACGTAAAATTAGGGTCAAATTTCTGTCAGTTATTTCTACAGACTTTCAAAGTTTTTTAATGATGCAGTATCATATATATGGGAAATTTTGAATTGGGCACTTGCAGAATTACTTTTTTATGCACTTGATTTATGATGATTTTATTGTGCACATGGTTTTGTCAATCACACTTTGGAATTTCTACCTAGTTTTTAACATTTTGATTTAGTTTTTAATATAATATTATTATGATCGAATCACGCTTCTGAATAAAAATGTAATAACCCATTTTAGTCGAAACTATTTCATCTCAAATCTGAAATTTTTTCAAAATTAAGAAATTTTTGTGCACTCTGCAATTGAATGTGTGATTTGTAAGAGTAATAATCCTTTTATGCGAGGAATGAGAAAAAATACTTAATTTTTTCACGCTGTAGTGAAATGCTGAATTTTGTTTATGTGATTTTCATTTTTATTCCTGATTATAGTGGAAATTGGATTAAAAACGAACAAAATTTCGAAGTCAGGTAAAAATCATGAAGAAGCAGAAAAGAGGAGGATTCTCCCTTTATTTTTTTTAAACAAATTGTAAGTGTAAAAAAAAATAAATAAAATTTTTTGAAAAGAGTTTTTTGTTTGATACAATATTTGATTGCTAAAAAGTGTCTGGAAAAAATATCTATCAGATAAACAGACTTCCAGAGATGGGACTTTGTATTGTATACATACATATATATACTTTTATTTTATAATTGTTGTTGAACAGCCGGCCCAATTTTTGGGCTTACAACTATTAATGTTCAACTCCGTAACCTTGTAATTTTGAACCCGATCAAGAAGACAAGGGACTTCCTGCACCAAGTATCCAAATACTTGATCCAGGACATTTTGAGACATTTAGACACTTTCCTTTTGAGGACGAACTAACCCGCATTTGTGATACATGGAGAGGAAAACCAAGAAATCTTCCCATGGTTAGGCTAACGGCAAGGGGACTCTAACCCACGATCTGTCTACCACTAAGGATATTTTAAGTCAGCACTGTGGTCGGAGCAAGCCGAATGCGTAATTCGTATTCAGCAGTCGTAGCTGAGATTCAAACCCTGTTCACCTCATTGGTAGACGAATGCTCTATTCCCTGAGCCATCATGGCTAGAAAATGTTTAACAGGAAAACATTAGTAATTACAATTGGTCCTTAAAATGAGGGTATAATATGGTTCACACAATTAGTAAAGGGAAAAACTTGAAATGTTAATTCATGCACACTTGAATCCAAAAATAGAATAAGACAGTATTTGAATGAGAAAATATGAAAAAGAGTAATTCTAAATAATAAATTAAAGAGGAAGAATTAAGATAAAAAATAATAATAAACCAAGATAATTAAAGCCTGAAATTTTCATTTTATTACAATATTTTATTCAAAAGTAATAAAATTTACTAATGTAAGATAGCATATGAACATACCTTTTTGGCGCAAGCTTGGCATTCTTTTTCATCCAAACAGTCGCCAGCAACTGTCTTCAATTTGCCTTCCAAAGGATTGTTTTTCAAGTCAAGCCAACGTAAGTTCTTCAATCTACAAAAGCTTACAGGAAGAGTTACAAGCTGATTTGAATACAAATCTAAATATTGTAAGTTATGCAGATTACCAAAGTTATCAGGAAGTTCAGAAAGACTATTGGCACTCAAATCAATTTTCACCAAGTGGGTTAATGTTGAAAATTCTCTCTGCACAGAAAAATAAATATGTGTCAGTTCCACATTGAAAAAATTACAGTATTTATTTTAGTTATTTCAGCTAATAAGAAATTATGTCCAATAAATACTTAATTTTAAACTTAAAAACATTTTATTACAATATTTGATACAGATATTTTTTTTATTTCCAATGGCAAGGAAAAGGGTACAAATAGAAAGATGAAATAAATAACGAATACAAATGTACGTAGGATAACAAAGAAAGAAGACCGAAGTTATTGCCTTAAAAGTTCTCTTGCTTCCCAGTATCTTGAGGACTCAGTGTGTCCATGAAGGACCCCACATAGAAGCAGGTGGTCCCTGCTCAATTTCTCTCCAGATTTACAAATAGGACAAAAAGGCGTGGTGGAAAGGCCTATGCGGTATAAGTGAGCAGAAAGACAATCGTGGCCTGTATATAAGCGGAAGGCCGCAACTGCATCACGTCTTGGCTTGATACAGATATTGCTACGAGGTAAAGTCAAAAAGTTCTCGGAATAGGTCAATTGCAAATTATTAAAAAAAATAGAATAATAATTTTACTTTTTTGGCCTACAAAGTAATGTCCTGTACCTACACACTTCTTCCAGCATTTGTGTAATTGTTGAAAATGCTCCTAGAGTCCACTTTTTGAGAGGTCCTACAGTCGCTTCGTTGCATTTTTGATCACCTCATCTGAATTCACTAAAAGCGCCCCTTCAATTTCATTTTTAGCAGCGGAAGCAGGTGAAAATACACTTGTGTTAGGTCGAGAGAATAAGGATGGTGTGTCAGAGTGGTAACACTGTGTTGCGTAAAAGAAACAAATCCTTTGTTGTCCATTTTTCAGATCATTTTCATCTAATTATCACATAGTCATTTAAGGATCTCTAGGTAAAATTCTTTATTGATAGTTTGGCCTTTAGCAATAAATTCATAGAGAATGACACCCTCGTATCAAAAAAACCCCTCAAAAATTACTTTTCCTCGACTTTTGTCCAAGCAAAAATTTTCTTTTTTGGTGATATTTTTGCCTTTGATCCACTTGACTGACGTTCGTAAAGATACTCCATGTCTCTGTTAAAATTCTTTTAAAGTTGTCAGCTTCATCAACCATGTCAATCAAATCCCTGCACATGATCACTCTCACCTTATTTTGTTCAGGGGATAAGATTTTTGGAACCATGTGCAAAGAAAACATAATGCATATTCAAATCATCATGAAGAATGCTGCGAATACTCCCATGTGAAATATCGATTTTAAGAGGCAATAGCAATGATGGATATTTGTTTATCTGCCTGTACTTGAATGCACTCACCATTTTCATCTGCAGTGGAAGAGGATCCAATGATCACCTTGGATGTTTGTGCAACCTTCACGAAAACGCTCGTACGAAAGGCAGTTTTTTCATGGCAATGTTTTCATATAATTTCTTTTGCATTCCAAGCGTATCAGAATTATACGCTTGTAAGCGTATAAATTGATCACACCCAGTTGACAGTGAAACTACCTGAGGGGTACAAAATTTTATTCGGCCTTTTTATATTAGATTTATTTATTTTGCCACTTTTTTTATTCCATTGATTTATTTTTTACTTGGCTGCTTTATTTATTCCATTTATTTGTCTTTTATTCTGAGACATTTTTGATTAGTTATTAACTGTTCATTTTTTTATTGTTAATTGTTAGCTTGTTTTTTTAATCGTTATCAGTTGTTAGCTTGTTTTTCGTAGTTATTCATTGTTAGTTTCTTAGCATTAAGTGCTATTCTTTTGGGGGGGGAGGTGAGTGTCTTTTGTTAAAACAAAATGTTATCTAAAAGAAAAAACGAGAACAATAATCTCTCTCAGAAAAAGAAACAATTATTTCTTATTCGGAGGATTCGAATTATTTCTTCTGGAATTACTTCTTCTTTGGATTATTTCTTCTTGATTATAATATATAGATTATTATCTTAATTAAAAAAAAATAATTTAAGATGGGACAGTTTTAAATTCACCCCATCATAATCTACGATCGAAACTTAACTAAATTCATAGGTTTTCCTTAAATTAACAGTACAATTTAATTATCGCAATATATCAGGGCCACATTGGAACTTCCGAAGGAGAACCGAAATTCGGTAAATTCCGAAATACAGAATTTAGTCGGTCCAGTGAATGCCGGATTTCGGGTCCTATACAGTACTGCCAACCTCTAAAAAAATATTTCTTTTCCAACGAATACATGCACAAATGTAGGTGACTATGCCAGGAATTTATTGACTCTTCCTCATATAACAATTAAAAAAGAAACAGCTTGACTGAAATATGCATTTAACCACAAATGATAGTAATCTTTAGTTATTTTAAGGTTGGATAACAGAATTCTAGAGTAAAAATTATCTGCAGGAATTTCCACTTATAACACTAGCTATCAATAATCAGAAAGCAATTAAGCAACACAGAAATATAGAAGGCTGTTAGTACAATTCGAGTTTTATTATTAAATAGATACCAAATTAAAAATCGTAAAACACTGAACTTTTATACTTTATTATAACATGATAAAATTAAATTGATTATTTGGAATAAATGAGATAAAACATTGTTAAAACCTTAAATTACTAAAAACTTGACAACAATGCATAAGACCATAATCTGTAACACACCAAACTATTTATTGTTGGTCAATTAGTAATACGAATGCTTCATAAGATCACAGGAAAATAAATACAGTAGAGCCCCGATTATCCGAGTTTACACTTTAATCGAGCTATATTTCTAGAATTTTTTTGTTCCAGTTTATTTTTTATTTTTAAAACTACAGCTGAAAAAAATCTGATTTCAACTTCCAAACACTCAGGAAAACAATATCCAACAACTTGATTTGATGAAATAATCGTTATTATTGTCAATAATGGAAGTGAATCTAGCGAAGATGATAAAGACAGTGAGGAGGAAAATCAACACATAAAAATCCCCCATACAGATGGATTAAAAGCTATCGAAAGTGCTATTGAACAAGAGGAGACATCAGCCTTACTGTTATCCCTAAAAAAAATGGTTAAACATTGCAGCAGAAAAGCGACAAAGTAATGTAAAACAATTAAGGACTTTAAGTAAAAACTTTTTCTCAAAAAGTGTTTTCTTTAGGAGTTTTTAAGTAAGCTTTTTAATTATAATATGAATTGTATGTGGTGTATTCCAATAAATTTTATATTTGTTAAATATATTACTTTTATACCTACTCTTTTTCTTTCCTTTTACATTATCTTCGCTTCAACCGAGTTTTTCTGTTATCCGAGTTAGTCGTCATTCACATTAACTCGGATAATCGGGACTTTACTGTAACTTTTATATACAAATACCACCAGTGACAGTGCAAATTATTTACCTTCCAAAAAAATCAATAAATAAAAAAAAATACTAAAAAACAATTTTATTATAATGTAAGCACTGATAAAATTTTATTAATTAACAGGGCTTGCCAAAGAATTAAAAGGCAATTTTTGAAAGTGCGGGTTGGTTTTTTTCCTTCAAAAAATATTTTCATATTGTTGAATGTTAACGTCATTCAGACCTGTTAAAAGTTAACGCCATTAAGATTGCAAAAGTTAACGAATCAAACTAATCTGCACTCTATTTTTAATGATTTCATGGAAATTGATTTGTAAAATTAAGTGCAGAAATTAAGATTTGCAATTTTGTTTTCTTGTATATTTAAAAAAAGAAAGAGTAAATAAAGAAATTTGTCTGAAACATTGAAAAAATTATTTCAACAAGTTTTAATACTTCGCTACTAGACCAGCAAATGCGTTATATTTACTTTTATGATGCATGAACTTAAACAAAATCCTTTCCAGCAAAACCTGTTATTAGGAATCAACTTTACATAATGAAACTAAACATTAACTAATTTTAAAACAACCAAAAATTTGAACAAAAATTGAAAATTGTACATTAAGTTCCAATGTTAACTGAATAAAATGATTAATAAAATACTATATGTGGGGAGAGTGTTGTTACAGACCATGTCAACTTTCATCTATGAAAAGATACCACCATAGAATGACCGAAGTTATTG